AGCCTTGAACTCATGGAGATCTGCCTGCCTCTGTCTCCTGAGTGCTGAAATTAAAGGCCTGTGCCACCATGCCTCGCTTACACCATATTTTTTGTCCAGTGTAGTCTCATCGTGCCCTCACATTGAAGATTCACATCACTTTTGCTATTATTCATTTTTTAATTAATTAATTTTTATGTATATGAGTGTTGTGCCTGCATGTATGTAAGTGCACCTGTGTTGTACAGTGCCTGCAGAGGACAGAAGAGAGTGTCAGATCCCCTGGAACTGGAGTTAGAGATGGTTGTCAGCTGTCGTGTGGGTGCCCGGGATTCAAACCCCAGGTCTTCTGCAAAAACAGCCAGCCATCAGCCAAACACTGAGCCATCACTCCAGCCCCACTACAACTCTTTTAAGAATCATAAATCAAAAGAATTTATGCCTTAATGAATCTTAAGTCACATTCCTTAAAAGAATCATAAATATGGCTGTTTGTTTCTAAAATTTTAAGTGATGTGCTACAAGATAATACATTTAAATTAAGGATTTAATAAATGAGCAGAGGGTTTGACAAAGGCTGATTTGGCAAAGCAGAGGAAGAAAAGATTAGTAAACTGAAAATGAAATTAGGTCAATATAAATATTCTATCTGAAGCAGAAGGAAAAAGGACAATGTGGGGGCAGGCATGGCAGCACACACTTGTAAACCCAGTGCTCAGGAGACTAAAGAAGGAAGTTTGCCATGAGCTCCAGGCCAGCTTGAGCTGCAGAGTGAAACCCCTTCTCAAAATGACAGACAATAGGGGCAGAAGTGACGGCTAGGTGGGTGAAGTGTCTGTTGCACAAGCATGAGGACCTGAGTTTGAATCCCTGGCACTGGGGTAAAAGCTGCATAACATCTCGCCTCCATCCCCAGCACTGGTGCAGGGCTAAAGGGTGTAGTGGAGATACGTGGATCTCAGGAGCAAACCGCTCTGCTAATCTAGCCGAAACTCAAGCTCCAAGTTCAGAACTGTGGAGAGTAATTAGAGAATAAACCATGAGTGAAAGTAACTCATGAGTATTAACTGTATAAGACAACCATAATAATATTTTATAGATCTTTAAATGCATATTGAATTAAAATACATTATAACAGTACCCAGAAAGTGAAGAGTTGGAGATTTTTATATAAAATTAAAGTATTGCTATAAGTCTGCATTGTGACCTAAGAGGTAAACACATTGATGTGAGGTAGATGTAAATTGGACTTAAGCTGTATTTATTGCCATCATTTCAATTTTCAAAGATATCAGGACACATTTTGCAGAATACACATTATTTTCAAGTGTATCAAAACCAATCACATGGATGTTTTCTGAATTAAGCTAAAACTAACAAAAGCATAATTTAAAATAAATCCTTAAGTATTCAGAAATTTTGAACTTCTAAATAGCTCACGAATCAAATATACACTTTTTATTATTTTTATTTTATTTTATGTGTGTGACTGTATTGCCTGCATACATGCAAATGCACCCATGTCATGCAGTGTCCAGGGAGGTCAGAAGATGGCATCGGATGCCCTGGAACTGGAGTTACAGATAGTTGTTAGCCACCATAGGGGTGCTGGGAACAGAACCTGTGTCCATTGCAAGAGTGACCAGTGGTCTGAACTGCTGAGCCATCTCTCCAGCCCCATTAAATATATTTTGATGAAAATAAGAAATGAATTAAACAGCAATGAGAATATAACATAGTAAGTCTTGTAGCTGGATGTGGTGGCATGTCTATCATCCTAGCACTTGGGAGATAGAGGCAAAAGGATCAGGAATTCAAGGCCATTCTTGGCTACACAATGAAGTTGAGGCCAGCCTTGGCTACATTTGACCCTGTATCAAAAAAAAAAAAAAAAATGAAGGCAGGGCCTGGAGAAGATAGAGCAGCGGTTAAAAGCACATGTTGCTCATATGGAGGACCTGCACTCGGTTCCCAGCACCCATATCAGGCAGCTCACAGCCACCTGTAATTCCAGTTCCAGAGGATCTGACACCCTCTTTTGGCCTTCATAGGCACCAGGCACACGTATGGTACACATACACACATGTAGGCACACATACATACACATAAAATAAAAATAAATATATTTTAAAATATGGCAGGATGAACTAAAGCAAGGGAAGCCTATCACATTAAATGCACATTTTAGAAAACCATGTCAAAGCTGGGGATCTTTAATCTCAGCACTTGGGAGGCAGAGAAGACAGGTAGATCTCTGTGAGTTCAAGGCCAGCCTGGTCTACATAGTGAGTTTCAGGCCAGCTGGGGCTACAGGGAGACCCTGTCTCAAAAGCTCCCAAAAAAAAAAAAAAAAAAAAAAAAAAAACAAGACAAAAAAAAAATCAAACTTATTTATCTAGGTTATATACCAAGAAGGTAAAAGAAAGGAAACCAAAGAAAATGTAAAAGAGAAAATGATAAAGTTAAAAGCATAAATTAATGAATTATAGACAAGAAATATATCAAGAAGGCAGCAAAGACATGAGTTGGCTCACCACTAAGACCAAACCCCAACCCTTAGCAAGGAGGATCAAGAAGAAATGAAAAAGTTGAAGGCACAAATTGTCAGTAATAAGAAAAACAAACACCAGTAGAGTAGAGTAGAGTAGAGTAGAGTATCTCATACCGTCTCATAGACGATAACAATTAAAAAGAAAATACTGTGGATACTGTGTCAAGTTTTTGGAAAATGTAGATAAAATGAACAAGCTTCTGGGGGGAGAGGCTCACCAAAAGTTATTCAAAAAATATTATAAAATCTGAACCAACTTTTCTCTATGAAAAAAGTCACCTCTTCCCACATCCCAGACTCACAGAACTTCCCTAATGAACTCAGAATATTTGAGACACTACACATATCACCCACCAACTCTTCCAGGGACAAGGAAGAGGGTACACTGCTCCAATTATGCCACGGATCTGGCATAGAGGATAAGGTAACATGGCAGGCTTATCCCTCTTGTGATCAGTCATGAAGTTTTAAGGGAAACAGGAGCACAGTGAAACTTGGAAGCAGGCAGCAGAGTCCCAGCCCTCCTAATGAAAAGGGACCAAGACCACTCACAAGTGCCCCCCAGAGCTCTTCCTACCTTTGAAAGGACCTCTCAAGGGAGGCTCTACAAAGAGGAAAACTGAGGCCTTCCTGATGTTGGGCAGCAGTTTCAGCCTTCTCTGAGTGGCCATACTCCCCACAACCTCCTTCCCCTGCAAGGTCCTATGTTGTTCAAGGCAGTGGTTTTGCCTCTGTGTTGGACTCATGCTGGGGACAGGGAAGGTTTCTGTCATTTGCATACTCTAGTCTTTGGAGAACTGGATGTCAAGAATGGGATTCCCACGTCTCTTGATGGCCAGCTATGGTCTTGACTCCACACGTGGCCCTGAGCATCCAGACCCTGACATTGGATCTTTCCCACTCCCAGGCACCAAGAGGTTTTCCATCATTTTTTCTATTACTCTTCTACAGCCCCAGTGTGCCTTCCTCTGTGCCCGACAGAAAATATAAATCACCCAGTTGAACATCTAGAGATAAAATCAGTCTGGAAAGTTAAAAATAAAATAAAATAAAGATACAGTGATTCCACCTGATGGACACTCACAGATATGTACTGTGCACCCAGTAGACAGAGGACATGTGCCAGTGCCATGTCCCTGCCCCTCCAGTCTACCTAACCTGTGGCTCTCATGCAGGGGACTAAGTTCCACCTGCTAGTACAGGTAGACAGGCAGCGCAGGGGAGTGCCAGCTCACCCACAGGCTCTGGCATCAGGAAGACCCTTGCTGGCAGTTCCCAGGCTCCCTGTGCTGACCCTGCCAAGAGGGAACATGTGGCTCTGGGCATTAGAACTTCATAGTTCTGTGGTCATTCCCAATTTCACAGGTTACAAACGCTTCCACCGATGCCTCTTATCTGACCCTCCTGAACCCTGCAAGGCAAACACCAGCACCTATGCTCTGCAGATGACAAAAGTGAGGCTCTGAGCAGTGAAAGAAGTCCTGGCCTAGCTCAGTGGTCCCCATGGGATGCCACCATGGCATAAGAGATATGGTACATATAGGGCCTTTATGAAGCCATAAAATCAGAATTCTATATATAAACATGTGACTCAGGAGATGAATACCATGAACCGCCAATCCTGGATGTTTATCACCACAGAGGCCAAGGAAATTCTTCCTGTAAAACCTGCCTTCTGAAAGAGATGACTTCAAGGCCTAGCTCAGAAACTCCTAGATCTCATTGCTAAACAGAAAAAAATATTCCCCAGGCAGAGGAAACTGGGATTCATCAGCTAAATGACTTCATGTGTGCCTTCAAATACTACTGTCTAGAGAACATAAATGAGGTCTGATGGTAGGGGGGCTCCATCCAGGCTGAAATGTCCAGAGTGACTCTCCCAAATTAAAGCCCCCTCAGTGACTGAGCCTAGGAAAAGCTTCAGGTAAGCCATAGCACTCAAAACCTCCAGAGCACAAAATAAGAGGGATCCCAAAGAGGAGAATCATACACTTTCAAGGAAGGGAGACAAACCTATGGGTAACAGGAAATTGGTGGGTGTCATTTCTAGAGACCTTTATAAAGTGTTTGAAATGAATCCAGACCAAAACCCATCCAAAAGGCTGAGTCACACGGGAACCGAGAGGACCGTTGTGTTGTGGATTAGGCTAGAGCACAGCCAATAAACAAAGAGCAGGGACAGGCAGGCCCTTCTCCAGATGGAGAGAGGTAAACAGAAGGGGCCCCCGGGACAGGGCTGCCACTGCTGCTTCCTAAGTGACTGAGAATGAGGTAAGTGGGGAGAAGCTGGGGATGTGGGGTGGGGTGGGGTGGGGGTGTGGGATGCATTGCTCTTGCCCTGCACAGGCCCAAGGTATCAACCAGCTCTGCTGTTTTGTCTCCTGAACTCACACATTACATCACAACACAAGTTTCTGGCCCAAGGTCACCCACCAGAGTCCTCCAACCCCTCCAAAGCCCCGAGCTTCACCTGTTGCTGGCTCTGCTCCTCCAGGTTCATCTTCACCTCCAGTGACTGGCGGGCCTCCAGGAAGGCTTTACGGTGCTTGCGGTCTGCCATGTAGTAGGACATGATGCCCACGATGATGGCGCACAAGTAGAGGAAGACATTGGCCAGGATCTGCACCCCAAGGAGGAGGAAAGAAAAAGGCTGCTGAATATGCACCTTCAGGAAAAGGGGATGGGGAATGGGACTGGCAGGGGTCTCAATCTGCTGGGAGTTACCCAACTCTAAGAAGGCGTCAAGCCCAATACACCTCTGACTCTGATTGATTATACAGGCCTCTGAGTGGACCCTACCCTATAAGCAAGGCCATTCCAAGTCATGGTTTCAGGTCTGGAAGCCGTATAGGCCACTTCACACCACAACCACTCCCCTTACCAGGGCAGTCTGAGCAACCTTGGCTACTCGTTCGTTAAACCAGTGTGCATTGAGCCCTGGCTTACTAAGTGCTCTAAGTGCTGTGCTGATCTACCTTACAGCCTGCAAGTCCAGCAATAGCATGAACAGCTTCTTGAGTATCAAGAGTCTCTTCCTTCTGGTACCCTGCAGACTCTCCTAGGTGTTCTGGTTCCCAGATAATCCCCCAAACTGTTGGGTTTAGAGACGCAATGCTTTCCTGATGGAGGAAGCCTTGGATATAGACCTAATGTCCCTACCACCCGTGGCTCCTGGTGTTTGCAGCTGCTGGTCCTGATCTTTGGTTAGTAACTGGAAAGGCTGGGCCAGGTACTAATTCCCTGTGTGTCTATGAGTCTGCTGGCCTTAGTGAGCCTTCTCAGGCAAAGCTGCTTCCTGGGCCAGTTCCACCTGCTTCCCAGGAACCAGTTCCACACCCTCTTGAAGTTGTGCTGCCCTCCCTGCCCTGGTTCCCAAGGTCCTGCTCAGTGGGGACAGTTGTCACCATAGAAGTAGGTGTGGCTTCCCACCACCACCAGATTAAAGTTGAGAAGCAGGATGGAAAAGAAGCTGAAGAATTTAATTTCTGATCTTACAGGAAGAAAAGATGAACTCTAACAATATATGCAATGGAGTCTGGGGTCAGCAAAAACTGTGGGGAAGTCAACGTTAGATTTCTTTTTTAAGATTTACTTCATTTTATTTGTGTGTATATGTGTGCCTACATATCTGTATGTGTACCACACCTATGTGTCTGGTGCCCCCAGAAGCTAATAGGGGGAGTCAGATCCCCTGGAACTGGAATTATGGTAGTTGTGAGCCACCTAATGTAGGTGCTAGGAAACAAACTGGGTTCTCTGCAAGAACAGCAAACACTCTTAACCACTGAGCCATTTCTCTAGCCCCCAGCATTAGGGTTTTTTAAAAAATATTTTATTTAAGCTGGGAGTGGTGGTGCACGCCTTTAATCCCAGCATTGTGAGTTCGAGGCCAGCCTGGTCTCCACAGTGAATCCAGGACAGCTCAGGCTACAGGGAGACCCTGTCTCAAAAAGACCAAAAAAA